ACAGATAACATTCTTCAAATATCACAAGAACCGCACCTTCTCCTCAGGAATAGATTCAACGGGTTCCCATGTGACCTCATCATATGCAAGACTTTTCCATTTCACTAGGGCATATTCTAGCCCATCGTCACCAGTACCTACGTCTACAACTCGATCGACAATGGTGTAATCGCTGTTGAAATCTTCTTCTTCCTGAGACAAAACAAGAATAGAAAGCACTACTTAAGTGAAGATCTTAAGTGGAGCAATAAAAACTCGACGCTCACGTTATCATTATTCGAGTGAGATTTCTTTTGTCGGAATCGCTTAACTTTTGCCACTGCACGTTTATCAACTTCTTCCAGTTCCTAAAATGTCTTAGTCTACATAGCAGATCTATCAAAAAAAAAACATAGCAACCGAAATAATTAGGAGTGCAATCATACCTTCAGGGTTTTCCACTCACAATGCACGTAAGCTTTGCCTTTCCACTTAATGAGATACTGCTGTTCGCCTCCATCGGGGCCATCTCGCTGGTTAAGAATCTAGAGAACAGCAAAATAAATCCATGGCAATTGAATGTGTAGATTGCCCTGGATATTTTCTCAAGCAGCTCACACACGTAGAAAGAGGAATACTGCTGATGGTGTCGCATTTACGGTAGCAAATGAGTGAAGAAAAAATCTCAGAAAAATATAAAACAAAATTAATTTTCCAGTTGTAGCTCTAGAAGAGTTGCTGGTCCCTACGCCTCTATTTTAATAACATGAGGCTATTCCAATAGGTCTAATCAAATATTCAGAAAGAATAGCAAGGGCACAAATGTCAGTTTAGTAAAACCACTCAGCTTGTGACTGCAACCAATGCAGCGCTTCGATGCCGCATTTAAGAGCACTGGTGACTACTCTCTCTATCAGATATCTCACGCCTTGCAGCAGTCATCTCGTAATTTTGCGAATAGAAACAATGTGCTTTGTTCCTATTCGCGAAACTGAAGAAAAAGAAAAACAGAATTTTTCGCCTGTTTTTACCAACTTTTCGAAGAACCTAACGAACTTTTTTCTCAAAACTTGTTATGACCGCCATCTTCTGAGATTCCCTACATTGTTCAACTGACAATGAGATCAGTACCTTCTCAACAATCTGTTGATCACTGGATTGCGTTTCTTGGGAGTCAGTTGTCAAAATTGAATCTTCAGCGTCGTCATCAACACCATCGATAGCGTCAGCCCACTTGGATGTGCTGCGTTTCTGAAACCAAAATAAGAAATAAAATGAGAAAACATTTAGCAAACCGTTTCACATAGCCATCACCAAAATCGTAACTGCTCACATCATCATCATCACCAACATCATCATCACCAACTTCCTTTGAAGGCTTGGCAGGTACTCTTTTGCCAGACTTCCTACTTCGCCCATCAGGCACAAAATCATCGTCATCATCGCCCGAATCGTCCACGCTTTTTTTCTTCCGTGACTGAACAGGCATCAAATTATAGTGATACAAAGCAAAGGCAGAGTTCCGAAGGTTCGTTAACTGCTAACTGCCAATAGCCATGCTAGCTAGTTATCCCGAGTAAACACATGTTCTCTTTGTTAGCAACTAATTAGCATGTATGAACTTGACAATGTTGATCTGCTTTGATATACTTATAAGGACAACCTAAACTCTTACCAAGAAAGTCTTCGAGGACAGCGCACGGACATGGAGCGCTTTTTGGAAACGTTTGTTGCATGTTATAGGGGCACGTGCGTGGAGCATAAATCTGATGATCATTTTTTCTGAGCGGCCCTGGGATTGCCAGAAAAGGGCAGAAATTTTCCTTGGAAAGTGAAACTTTCCATTTTTAATAAACTCTACAGCATTTGTAGAGTTGAATAGTTGCATTTTGGAAGCTTTTTGTTCACTGAATAAGTTTAGACATATATGAGCCCAAGAAAGTGGAAATCAGAGAAATGCAAAAATTTGTCTTCAGTGGGGATCGAACCACAAGCCATGGTTTCCACATTTTTTAGCATTCCAGAGCCGCTCAGAAAAAATTATTCTCAGTTTTATGCTCCTGCGCATGTCTCTATAACATGCAAAAAAACCGTTTTGAAAAAGCGCTCCATGTCCTGAAAGACTTTCCTGATTAGCAGAGGAAAAGGTGAGTTACACCCACTTTCCCCTATGCATCTTTCGACACGCCTATTTATCAGGTTAGTACATAATATGCGTCTGGATTCGAATATTTGAACAAACGTTTGAAAAACGTTAAAATAATTAGTGATGGAGCTTCCTTACTATTACTATTACTTGAGAATATGCTTGCATTGCGCAAGAAATCACCGGATTCGGAATAGAAGAACAGACACTTGGCTCGTTCTCGTGGTCGGTTTTGTTGTCAACTTAGACGACGTATATTTAGCTCAAAATTTAGCGAAAAAATAGGGTCGGTTGGAGGAAATGCCGGATGGGTACGGCGGATTCTGAACAAATTCCGCCCTGGCAGCCCTTGCCTCGAATCAAGCAAATGCAGTGTCAAAAATGTCGATTTCTGTTGCCAGGATTTTCCAAGTTTTAAGCACTACAGTTGAATGCAGTTATAATATTGAATGACATGACAAGTGAGGTATGCAGAGCAGGAAAGGGCTTTCAAATATTCTACAGTCTTCCGAAAAGGAACATGCATGATGGTGAGTGAATTCAAACGGGCAAACAAAAACTTTGCGATCTTATGTTCCTAACAACCGAAATATGTCTTCACGACTTCACAAGCTAGTATCAAGCTAGTAAAGTGCGCAGATCAAACGCATCGAAAAACTGAATTCTATTCTCGCAAAATTTTCGAAAAAAATCTATTTTTACAGTGGCATTATCTTTTGCGAAACAATTCCATGGAGATCCCACCCTGTGCAACAAGTGACGAAATGTCAATGTCATTTCTCGCTATTCAGAAGCGGTCATAAAATCATCAACGAATAATGAATACGCAATCAATAGAATGACAAACGGACACAACTATTAAGCTTCCCGTCCATACTTAACTACTATCGTCTATTCGTCGACCATGACGAAATAATATCGCAGAGCTATCATGATACTATTGAAAGTAAATAAAAAAAACCGCGACATACCCGAACTATAGGAAGCCTCTTCGGCTTTCGACTTTCCGGGGCAGGAGTCGAAGGTTCCGTGAAAACGCCATCTGTCGACTCAGCAACTTCACTAGGCGTGGCATCACGATCGTCGTACACCTCTTCTTTAGACAACGTTGCAACCTGAATATGTCACCATAACGTGTGTTACTCTCCGTAAGACGTGATCTACTGTGGGTGGAATACTCACCCTATCCTTGTTCCTTGATCTTTTCGATGGTTTCACAGAAGGTGGTTCAGTTTCCGGTTCTTCGGCAGTAACTTCGCTCTCTTCAGGTGAAGGATCGCGGCTGATAAAGGTTATCATTTGATCACTCAAACCAATAATGCATGCAAAGTAAGAACTAACCTGCTGCTTGGTCCAGGCGTAGGCTCATCTGATACATCCTCCTCTGGCTCCACATCAGCCTTAGCTTCTTCATCTTCGGCTATAGCCAGACTCGTTGTATCGACTGATTTCTCATCGGTTTCCTAAAAGAGTCAGCTTAGCACACTTTCTTTTGAAGATTTAAAGAATTTGTCTCAGCACATAAAGCATAATCCATTTATAAAAGAAAAGTACCTCAAGCTGCTCTTCTTCCTCTTCCTCTTCCTCTTCTTCCTTCAATTCCTCCGGTACTGCGATAGCCGGCTGCGTTTCATCTGACAGTGTGGAATAGTCAGCTGGAGCTATTGTGCTGCTACAAGTAACTGGTGGTTCGGGAGACATTTCCTTCTGCTCATCAGGTTCTGGTTCTGGTTCTGGTGCCGCTTCCGTTTCAGGTTCGATTTCTGTGGCTTGTTGCTCCAAAACTTCTCCTTCTTCCTCTACTACATCAGTCCGCATTGGAGGGGTCGCGTCATCCCTAGAATTTCACTGCTATACTTTTCAAGTGGTTTTGTGAAAGAGTTACTGTCAAAAAAATGGCTGCAAAAACAGACCTGTCATCAAAAAGATTAGCTGAAGGCTGAATTAATGGTTCCGGTATTACGGGATCCGGTTTCACATCTACCTCTTCTTGGGGAGGAGCTTCTGCCTTGATTTCAGGCTGAAAGATAGGATTATAGAGAAGCAGCATAACAAAGATGAAATCACTATTCGCTCTCCTAGCTTAATGGCCTCCATCTTACATAGTTAGACTAGTCAAAACCTGGGGGGGAAACAACTGTGAGAGATAACCATGGATAAACATAACAATTACTCAGCCCTTCATGTAAATTCTTGCCATTTCACACAAAAATCAAAGTGTACTTTCAGGAAATTGCTAAGACGACGTCGGAGGAAAGCGTGGAGGTCTAATGCGGAACATTAGAACCACAAGAAAACTTCCCACTAAGATCAATGAGCCAAATTCTCCTCTCCGCCCCAACCTACAGGAACTCCACACATGTACAGGGTGGCAAAAAATTAGTCGCGCCATAAAGAACGTCCTAACTTCATTTATTGTCCATAAAAATTTGAAGGAAATTAATTTTATAAAACACTGAACTAAAACATCCAATATTAATAAACATGTCTCGAAGTGGCCGCTGTTCGCTGAAATTCTGGTGATTTGGAGCAGTATCAGTGTTTTGGACAAGCCTCCTTTGACATTGGACAGATTTCCTTGATTTTTATCGATAAAATCAAGAAAATCAATATAAAGATCTACCACGAAGATGTCTTAAAGAAAGCTCTGGTGCTCTGGAAGCAGGGTTACAATATTGTATTTCAACAAGAATGGGCTACAGCTCATGAATAAAGATCGAATTGGGAGACCAAAATCGGGTCTTCGTTGACGGTGGATTTGTGACCTACTAATATTCCAAAATCAAATCCATCACACTTCTTTGTTTGTGATCGGGGTTATTTGGGGTTTTTCTTCAACTCGGGTTTAACTTACCGGGTTTTACTTTTGTTTGTGATTATTAAAAGGCTAGTGAGATATCGAAACCCAAAAACTTTGGTGATTTTGAAAAGAAAATCTCAATATTTAAAATCAATTAGACGTTGAACACCTACGGCGCACCATAGAATCCATGAAAAAACAAAATGAGGTTTCATCAGTGATGGCGAACACTTCGAAACTTTTTTCGCAATTATTAAATGTCACAGTTGGATCTTTATAAACGTAGTTCCTTTCAAATTTTTGTAAATAAAAAATAAAGTTGGAACGTTTTTTCTAGCCCACGTAACTTTTCGCCACCCTGTATAGGCGGTATTTTCCTCGACTGAACTAAACACAACGTAAACGAGGGAACACGCCTTATGCACTTTCAATGCCATTCCTTCCCGAGGATCTCTTATTCCTACCAATATTGCGCTGCTGACCGCTTGATGTGCAGCAACAGAGTTCACCTACTCCAAACAAAACCGAGGGACACGAAGGCCTCCAGAACTTGCTGGATTCTATTATGACTGCGGAGACGTCTAGCTTTACCCTTTATACTACGATGTCGATAACTATAGTATCTTAATGGTTTGGGCGCTGTCAGAGACCAAATCAATAAGCTAACAATTTCGTTTTCTGGAAGCCCTTGAAATATTTACTGATAACCAAAAATATGATTTTATTGAGCTAATTTCTTACCTTCTCCTGCTCTTCTACAGATTTTCTTGTCTCCGGCTCTGGCATAGGTTCCGCGTAGGGGTTAAAAACTGTTGGCTTTAGTTCTACCGTGACCGGCGGTTGTGATGGTGGTAGTTGCATTGGCGATGCTGTTTCCATTGTATTATGTCCGTGTTGGACCTGAGAGAAGCACCTTCTCAAGTTTTTGCTTTGTTGGAAATAGAAACGTGGCAACGAAAAACAAGTGATATAAAGTGCTACACATATAAACTTACACCATTGTTCTGGTAAACATTGTCCACGCCATTAACCGAGACTTGTGGCATTTGGTGGAGGGGTTGTGGCGGCACCTGCGGCTGAATTTGTTGCTGGGGTGGCGCCGCAATTGGTTGTTGATGCATTGACATTTGTTGCTGTTGAATATGTTGCGGAGGAATCTGCTGTTGAGGGATTTGTTGCTGATGATGATGAGGTGGCGGCGACATCAGCTGCTGAGAGTCCTATTGGAATAAGCTTATTTAAAACCAAACTCGTGAACAGAATTACCGTACTTGATACTGCTGTTGTTGCTGCTGTGTTGGGGTTGGTTCAGGAGGAACAGAATCTTTCGTGTCGCAGTTGAACGCTTCATCACCATTTGGAGACTCACCAAACCGATGGTACACGCTTATCAGCGTACGTCCAG